CCCCCCCCCCCCCCCCCCCCGTCGCCAAAAAAATTTCGGTCTGTGTACCATTGTAGGGGTCAAACAAATTTTCCGGACAACCTATATTTTTCGGAACATAACACAAATTTTCGAAAAATCACACAATTCGCGAAAAAATTCACTTAATTTTACATAAAATTGACTGAATTTGTCCCATTTTTTTTTTAAACCAAAATTGCACGACTGTTGATCGAATATTGCCCCCGCCCGGTACGCCTATGTGCTATCATTTATTTATAAGAGACCTTTGATTGCCCTGTCAATCGGGATGATTCGTATTTTGGGGGGGTGTAACACCCCCCATACCCCCCCTCAAATTTCGCCCCTGGTTGTAGATTTGTGTTAACCCTGGGCTATGCTAATCAACTTTTGAACAACCGGGCCCAGGAAAGCAAGACAAATGTTTGCTATTAATTTCTCATCCAACTTTCATTCAAATTAAACCAAAATTTAACCGATTTGTCTGTAGGCTATTTCTATTAGCCCCACAAATTTTCGTATTATTGATTTAAAACATTTAATTATGAAAAAGACAATTTTTCCAAAAGCGTCGGGCTTATCTGGGGAAATCTTTTCATACAATACAATTACAAAGTTAACAAAAATTGACATCACATTCGGACTAAGACACATAAAACAGACATATTAGGTAGGATAAGTAGACGAATGGCAGAAACACATCCAAACAATGCAGAATGGGATTAATATAACTCTGAATATCACAGTCACACATAATATTATGTATACACATATAAATATTAACAAAAACGTTTAGAATTAGTAATAAATTAAGTCCTGCACAAGTGAAAATAGCTTAACATTAATTGAAAAGGATATATCAAGATGTCCATACAGAAACCATTGAAAGCGCATTGAGGATGATGAGTTTAATCATAGTTTAATTTAATCATGAAAGTACCAAGCAATTGTTCAGCGGCAGCAAAACTGAGAACACAACGTTCAGCAGCAAATCAATGGCATTCAAAGAAGAAGTGGAGCTCTGTTTCGTTTGCTAAACCACAACTACACATTGGTGAGCTAGCCGCACAGTTCATCAGGAACAAACGATAATTTAAAGTACCATTACGTAAGCGAATTCGAGTATGCAATAAAGAAGCCATGCGATTTCCAGTGATACATATTACTTCTACTTTTACTCGTGTACAAATTCAAAGTAATTTAGTTATTAAAAAGTACGAGGTATCTGAGATCATTGATAAGTATTACGTATTATTACGTTATTTTTTAATTTATTGTGCCGACATTTTCGAAACAGGTGTTCACTAGAAACAATCCAGGAAACAATAGACCTGGTGTGCCAGACGTTGTGGTAATTATCACCGATGGAGACCCTTATGCAGGAAATATTGACAATGTTTTGGAAAAAACAATGGCAAATGCAAGCGTCATCAAGGAGAAAGGGATCCAGGTTGTAGGAGCCGCGGTAGGGAATGAGGCGATGAGAGCGAAACTAAGACCCAAATTGGAAGCGATGGCTACGTCAGCGGAATTCGTTGTCGAGGCTGACTTTATTTAAAGATATCAAAACGATTCGTTCGATGCTGATTTCGAAAACCTGTACGCCACCAGGTAAGACGGGAACATGTTTAGCTTGATATCGCGGCACTCGCGTAAAAGTTTCAGAACCGGCCAATCAGATGTGCAAGTTAACTATAGGCAGGGCGCTTATATATATCTATATATAGTTATATATATACGCGCCCTGACTATAGGTGTACAAAAAAGCGCACAATTTTAAAATTTCCGCTGAACTGAAAATTACGCAAATTTTGTGACAACTTTATGTTACTATGAGTATATAGTTTGAGCTCTCCTGGTATCTCTATGACAATATTAGTCTGAAAAGTAAATATATAAGAGTATACATGGTAGAAAAGTAAAAATATAAGAGTTACAACGCAATTTTAATTCATAGGGTGCAAATTTGTATTTATAAACCATGAAAGTAGTAAACAAGTTAATGTACGTTATGTCTTACGCGCGATATCTAAAACTTGGACTTTCTTGCCAACCAAAATTGTGTTTCAAATCTTTCATTTTTGTGCGCTATAGCCATTCATATTAAGTGGTTTGGAAAAACAGCCCTGCATGGTGCCGGGTGCGCACACGAAAATTTGCTTATTTTATTCAGAATAATTTTGTGATAGAGATAGCTACCAGAAGACATCAAACTACCCATAAAGTTGCTCAATTTGCTTTGAACTGCCTTTGCCAGTGTATGTACTGCCTACTGATATATTTTTGTTATTTTTTTCAAAAGTGGAACGATGCGTATGTCGTTCGACAACTTCAAAAACCTATTTGATAAAACCTGGACAATCCAAAGCGACGGCAACTTGGCCTGTGCCACAATACTCTTGCGGTACAAGAACGAGGGAAACGACGATGGTTGAACCAAACGTGAAGTCACCTCATGCATTCCCTCGTGGTGATCATATTATCAAGTATACGTTTAGGTTTGAAGGTGGTGTAGACGTCGTATGTCCAGTGACAATAATTGTAAAAGGTGAGGATTATAACTGAGAAATTCCGAACAAAAATTATATATACAAGTTAGACCTGAGCAGCTGCAAAAAATGAAACCATAAGCCCGGCCCTCATGCGATTTCGGTCTCCATACATTACCATATCATTATACCATTCCATACCATACCATACCATACCATACCATACCATACCATACCATACCATACCATACCATACCATACCATACCATACCATACCATACCATACCATACCATACCATACCATTGTAAATTTATATATTGTATTACTCCGAACACATGTACAATAATAGTCTTAGTCTTCAAGTTAATTATTAAGCCCGAAGGTCCATGCCTAATAGCCTGCAAACAGGCTTGCAATTTACGAGTATCTATTTCAATGTAACTATAAATGTCAATATATCACACCATACCACACCATACCATACCATACCATACCATACCATACCATACCATACCATACCATACCATACAGAATTAATTAATTTCTCTATGGGTTTACAGGAAAGATGTGTGGTGAGAATGCTTTCGATTCATGCAAACAAGATTGCTGTTGTGGCACAATTCATGATCATATGCCTGGGTTCAAGTGCTGTGGTCCAAAGTACTACAATCCAGCTGATTATAAATGCTGTGATTATGCTCATCTCGTTTCCAGCCAATCCTGTCCGATCTATTAACTTTCGTTTACCTACCATAAATTTCAGTGCAGTTATGCACTGTAGTTTAGAAGCCCTAAATACATATTACATTACGGCCTAGAGGCTAGAACTTCAACTATATATATTGTATACTTTTAAAGTTAACATAAAATAAAGGGACTGAAACTGAATAATTTTTTGAGGTGATCATGCCATCCAGGTGATCTTGATACGCGGAAAAGTACTGTCACTAGTTGTCAAATAGAAATCCATTTTATGATTAAAACAACTGAATATCTCCTGTAATATACTTTATTTCGATTCCATATTTTTGTCAGAGCTATAGTTCTCATAACCAAACATAATCACAGAATTTCAACTAGTTTCATAAAGAATAACGAAAGATATAATTGACTGAATACATCAAAATGGATTTCTATTCGGACAACCCTTTCTGAGCGCTGATTGGCTAAAATACGAACACGAGATCACCTGGCCATGTATTAGACAATTTTTAATTTTGATTGAATAATTTTGGCCATGTTACTAGGGACGTAGAAGCATCATGAAGTTTGGGGGTGGGGTTGGAAGATTTTACCTGAAATTTGAACTTCAATATGTTAAAAATTTACCTGAACGGCCATAATTATAATAGAGCTTTGTCTGATTAATTTCCACGGTCATACTAAGTTTCGGAAGAGAATGGGGGTCTCTCTGGGGGTCCTCCCCCAAAAATATTCGACATCAGTTTTGAAGCTCCGGAACTCATTTCTGGCGTTTTCTAAAGCCAAATTCGCAAACGAATTGGATCTAAATTGACTATATATTTTACAAAAATGGTTATAATTTCACAATAATGCCTGAGAATGTCAATGAATTTAAACTTGAGTTTTACCTGATTTTTACTTGAGTTTCGCGTTTTTTTTGTTTTTTTTTTGTTTTTTGTTGGGTTTTTTTTTTTTGGGGGGGGGGGGATGGGTTACATACCATGTCCCTGCATGTTATACGAACTGATAAGTTCCAAAAAATCAATTTCTGACACAGAGCTATCTAAAGTAGTCCAGACGAAGGGCCTTGGGCTCGAAAGTCTATACTCTACTCCACACGAAGGGCCTTCGCTCGAAACATCGAAATTCTCCTTATATTTTTCGGGTAGTTGCATCCCTATCAACGAAAGCTAGTTCATATTATAATTGGCAAGCATGCACTACCTACACTGGCACAGATAGTGCAGAAAAAAATGTGTCCATTAATGTTCCCGCCTGTGTATGGAAATCTTTGCAGTAAAAATCTTATATATATATAAGGGCGCAATTCCAGCCTCGCACGAAGCTCCTCGCAGCTCGCTGCGGGTGCATGCATGAGCACTTTCATCCAATCACATGCTTAAGAGTTAATTTTAATTCGGATGCAACCACTCGCAGCGAGCTGCGAGGAGCTTCGTGAGAGGACTGGAATTGTGCCTTAAGAGTTGACATATTGACAACATAATAATAAAAGCATAAAAAATTAAGGCTTTACTTTCTGTCTTTAATTTTAAATAACTAAAACGAGCGAGAATTTCACCAAACGAGTGGAACTGACTAATCCAGAAACGAACAAAAATGAGAATAATAAATCTATGGCTCTGAAATTGTCAAGCCCATGCAGTCAAGTTTGTCATCGATTGAAATTCTGAAACGAATTTTTTCACTGACTTTTAGCTGATCCTAAACTGTAAAGATAAAGGCTTTTTAACTTACTCCCCTATAAAAAACTGACGATCATGTAATCCCCTTCCTTGGGGAAATTGAGACAATTTACTATTCCTATATGTTTTATGACCTGAGACCATTTCAAGTTCTCATTCATAAATTCCGCTGCTAAGGGGCCTAAGCCGAGATATGATGACTCATATGCAGTGACTTTTAGGGACTCTTAACTATAGTCATAGTTTTCCTAATTTCTATCCGATTTGAATTATTCAGTTTGATGTAAATAAGTGTACGTAAAAGTTTAACCCTTTAAATTATCCATGCAAACTCTTTTATTTAATTCAGTTTAATATTGTAGAGCTATATATCTATCGACTATCGGCGCGGGTATGACAGAATTGCGATGCAAGAGGGTATGGTTAGACTTTCGCAAAGTTCTTCGTCTTTGTTCACAACGAAAGAACTTCAAAAGAAGTAATTTCTTGAAGAGTAAGGAATTTGCGAAAGTCATGCGAATAGCGGTAGCCGCCACCTCCTCCTCACTGCTAAAAATCATCTGCCTAACTGTGAATCAGCCTCTGCGCGCGAACTCACAAGATAGCCGGTTCGTTCTCGCTGTTCGGCGACTTCGTCGAGGTCGACTTGTATTTGATAGTCTAGAGGGTAGTACTAAAAGTTTGGACATATTTATGCATTTATCAGGCCCAACCAACTCTACCATGAGCAGTTGCAAAAAATGCAACTATAGCCGGCTCACTGGCAGGAATCACCGAAACCTGCGGCTCTGCATGCGACTCCATGGGTGCACAGCGCTAACCAACTGAGTTACACTAACAGAAGACAGTTGTCGAGTTCTAACCACATGTTCATGTATATAAATACTGAAGTGATGAATATGTAAGGCGTATGGGTAAATATCGGGACATTTGGACGTCTCACTCGATAGAACTAATTGTTCAAGGGATTTGTAGATGGGAATTTCGAGTGGAACTTTTTTTTAGTTAGACGCGGAAACGGATAATGCGTCTTGACGAGAAACGGATAAACGAGACAAATAAAGCTTTGCCAAACATACTAAGCATGCGGTTAATTTAATTTAAAAAACTGGAACCAGAATCATCGAGTGAAACATATGACTATTATATGCCACACTTATATAAAACCCGTATAAAATTCCAAGCGGATTTCCGTTCCCAAATTTATATTCACTGAATGGGTTTCTTCTTGTTTTCAATCATATATTGAATTCTCAAGATGTTTTGTGTTTTCGAAATTTGTTTTTCACTTTATTTTTTTAAATTGTTGGCTGGTCATGGTTTTTGGACAAATCTCCGAAGCACCGACTCTGATTTGCATAAGCTCTATATAGACGAGTTTTCCGTCTTCAATATTTTTCTTGCGCGGGAAACGCAACGGGTCAAACTCTTAATCGTGTTGCCGGCGCACACGACAAGGGCAGCAAAGCCGGCAAAGTTTTACAAGTCAAGGCTAAATTAATGATTTCTTGACAAAATTTACTGCTGTTAATTTTAGACACAAATTCAAAAATTTGATAACTGTGAAGTGTGGTGTAATGATTTCCGGCACACGTTTCCTTAATTGCCTAGTACGCGCGGTGAAAACACATTAATCATGGGAATCACAAGCGACGCTTGTCATTAAACGGTCATTAAACCATAACACTAGCATTTAGTATTGTGTTTTATTCTGGTTAATGCCAATAATGGCTAATTTGATAGCGTGTTTGCGTGTCCATGGCCATTTGCCATGATTATCGCCTTGAATTTCAACGCAATTTTAAGTATATATGTCGGAAAAAAATTGTAATTTCAAGGTCTGCAAGCTTTTAGGGGCTTTTTAGCCGGAATATCCAAAATTGATCAGGCCTATCAGAGGGACCAATATTTTATAAAAGCTCAGAATTCAATTTTCCCCAGAAAATATATCGCAGCTGATTCTAACCCGCATGCCCGCACTAATTATTCCACCAATAAGAATGCTGATTACGTCATGACACTCCCATGAATAAATTCCCTGTGTTCCATGTGACCAGCCTCTTTGATTCTCTGTCTCGCACGAGAAGGTATGAAAAATTTTACGTCTTTTCAATCCATATCAATCTGCTCGTTTTTTGTTACGAATTTTATAGTTTAATACCTGTACTAAGGCCTTTAAGTAATGTCCTTTCCGAATTGACGGTCCGAAATACAAAAGCAACGAGTTTTCCGAAGAAAATATGGGTCAAAACCAAGGGCTTTGTGTGGTCATTGAAAATTTTTGTAGCCGAATTTCAGTAAGATTTTGAACGATTTTATCGGTTCGGGACGCAATCTTTTACTGTAATTTTACATTATTTTCAATTGCTAACGTTTCTGAGTAGTTTTTGATAGTAAAACTGGGTTATTTTGTATGCTTTGAAGGCCGACAATTTCAATATTTAGAGACTTCATATCGGGATGACGTAGCGATCTTTGGCCATCTTTTATATTCATTCATACGTGCATGGCTCTTATTTTATTTAAAGCGTAACTTTTTTGTAAAGCATCAAGCGAATTTCGTGATATACGAAAAGGTTTTGAGTCGGGAAATCTGAGTTCTGTGTGAATCTATAAAATGTGTACGAGTATTTCAAATGGGGGAAGCGGCGTGTAAATTTTTTTCGGCCAAAGGACAGACCCTCGTAGTAGGTATGCATTTTCGAATCTCGGAGGTAAAATAATTTTAAAATTTGGTCTTCAAAATAGCGTTTTGAAGTTAAATTTTAAAGACATCGGTTTGTAAGTCCATACACAAATATTATACAAGATGGCTGTGTGTAATAAATCTGAAACCCTAAGGCTAAAGTTGGTTTATATGAATAACTTTTCAATCCAGATCCTTGTATATATTTTATAGTTCGCTAGGAATATGACTTTTTAAGCTAAAATGGGCTATTACATTAAAAAACCAAACCCCCCCCTGTCGAGGACCTCTGCTTTTGGGGATTTGACTTGAGCCCCCTCTGGAAGTGCATTTTTGCTTTTTAACCCCTCTGGAACGAGCATTTTTCTTCCGTTTTTCCCAATTACCCCTCTGGAAAAAATGACTAATTCCCCCCTTGGAAAATGATGTCCTCGACAGGGGGGGTACGGGTATTAAATGTAATAGCCCAATCATCTATCCCTAGTTGAATCAAATTCCTGTTGGTAAACTTCTCTGTAAATTGGAAAATTGTGGTTTTAAAAAAATTAGTGTTATAGTATATATTGGAAACAGGAAATCCAAAAGACTGGCTCAGCTGCCACTGACACAGAAAAGAAAATGGACCAGAAGCCTCACTGTATATCTTTTCCTAACATTTTCGTGTTCGCGATTTTCGCCTTGCAGATCACGAATTTCGCACGCTAGATGACGTGTGTGACACTTGCTGCGAACATCACGTCAGCGTTCGTCAGCAAAACGGTTAAAACAGCAATCTTTATTACCTAGTGATGGCGTCGTGATTACACTTGCTGGCTCGCGCCTGCGCATAAAAAATCTCGGACATAATTTTGGCTAAGTGAGGCTTCTGGTC